GCCCCGGCGCAGCGCTCCGCGCGGTGCTGAAGCGGGGAACAAAACGCGCAACGCCGCCCCGATAAATCCTCCTCTAATAACGCTCAGGGCGGTTGTTCGAGGGCCGCCGTCGCGGCTCCTGGCAGGTTGGGCTTGGCTTCGGGGCGACCGGCGACGCCCGCAGCGAGGCTCCCCGCTGGCCGGGTTAACTCAGGGTCACCGCAGGCGACAAACGGCTCTGCCAGCGGTGCGGGAGCCGGGGTTCCCCTCGCCTCCCCTCCCCGGTTTCCCGTTTCTCGGCTCCTGAGCTTGGATCGCCGAGCGGGATGCTGCCTGCATCCCGAATCCCGGGTGCTGAGCCCGGGTGGGCTTCGCTTCCCCCCGTGTTTTGGGAGCCGCCGGTCGAATCCGAGCCCGGGGAGCCTTCAGGTGGCGGGGAAACCGGCCCCGTTCCCTCCCGCCCCAACCCGGCCGCGGAGCTAAACCCGTCGGGCGGGCGCAGGGTGCGGTGCGTGCGGGACAGGCCCCGGGGGGAGCACTCAGGGTCGCCGGGGGGCTCCGTGGGGCCTGGGCGAGGGGCAGGGTGAGCCGGGGCCGCCCGCGTCCTTCGCTGTCAGCCGCGCTCGTTACGCGCCGGCGGAAGGCGAAGCACAACCGACAGGGCCGGGGCCGGGCCGCTCTCCTCGGAAAGAGAAGGGGAGCCCCGCCGCGGCTCCGGACGGTCGTTCCTGCCGGTTCCCTGATGCCTGGAGCCCGCTCGGAAGCGGAGGGAGCAGCCCGGTCCCCGGCGGAGCGGGACGGGCAGGCTGTGATACCCCGCGGCGGCCGGGGGGGCTGAATTTGGGGGGGGGGGGAAGCTTTCCTGCCTCTTTTAAACTTAAACCATGCTTTATCCTTCCCTCAAGCCCGTTTCGAAGGCGTATCTCGGGAAGAGTGGCTCCAGGCTGGCCGTGCACCCCAATTTTAGGAAAATTGGAAGTGCTAATTCGCCCCCAGCAACCCCCCCCCCGGTCCTCCCGCGGAGGAGGAGAGGATGGGGCCGAAGGCGCATTTGGGATGTTACAGAAACAGAGTTTACACGCGATGTTCTTACCCTTTTTCTCTAACGGGTTATGTTTGACTGACTGGCTCACGTCGGCTACCTGCTGGCAGTTTTATACGCCACGTCTCCTTAGGGTGAAGCGATTAGGCTCATTTTTTTTTTTTTTTTGGGGGGGGGGGGGGAAGAGGATAATGGCATAAATATGTTTTCCTTAGTGACCGCTCCTCTGGTCCCCTGCTGGGAAGTCACCGAAAAAAATCGTGCCTTTAAAGAGAAAAGACTCTCTGATGGCACCCGGCTTTTAGGGTTCGGAAAGATTTGCAGAAATCACACTGTGAATGGCAAAACACGGCCATAATCACCCCCCGCGCGACACTCGAAGGGAGCGGAAGAAAACATCTTTCGGGTGGAAAACAGTTTAAACATTATTTTCTTTTTTTTTTTCCCCAGGAAGTCTAAATATGCGATTCTCCTACATCAAATAAGTCGCGCCTCGCGCAAGTGCCTAAAAACCCCGACTGTATTTTACAGCCCGGAAATAAAAGTAACCCCAGAAAGGTGTTTTGAATATATATATTATTCCATTAGCAGATCACTATATATAGAGATTCTTCTCTCTTTCATCATCCCATAAAAAAATTAATCGGACAGACATATGGATCACAGGTTGTTCGATAAATTTAAATCCACCCAGTTATCTTTAAAAAAAAGTCAAAGAAATGAAAACAACATGCCACAGAGCGACCTACGGAGTTCTGGCAAGGAAAAATAAATAAATAAATAAATCGACAACAACAAGAAGAAGTGCCCACCCTCCCGGGAAAAAAAAAAATAAAATAAAAAAATATTAAAAAAAAGAGATCGGGGCGATTTGTCCGGGCAGGCTCAGGCGGTGCGCACCCCGCGGAGCGGCGCGGAGCAAGGGGTCAGGGTCTCGGTTTGGTTCTAGGGGGAGGGAAAGGAACCAAAATTGGGCAGGACCTGCAGCCCCCCCCCT